AAGAGAGGCAAAATCAGTGTCTGTCTGGGTGAACAGCAGTGCACAGCTCTGCCTCGTCTGGCAGAGAGGAATGGTGTGGGTTAGGGGATGTCATCATACATCTTTTCTGACCTGGCCCTGATCCATGTGCTGTGTTAGGCTGGTGAAAGTGTATGTGCAGCTACCCAGTGATCTGCATCAATGAAGTGATCTGTTGGGAGGACTCACCTCCTCTTCACTCCAAAATTAATTTGATTTTGTATCTTCAGGTGGACAGGTTTTCCAGTTTTCATACTGGTCTGGATAGCCATACCAGTAATTGTACATCTTAAGAGGGAAGGTGCTGCAAGAAGTATCTTCTTGGAATGTGAAATGGTAGTGTAAGTATGAATGTCTGTCAGAGTGCGTTGCACTGATGGAAGGTGAGCTAAATCCATAGCGCTCAAAAGGAGCCCCTGGCTTTCATGGAACTGTTATCACCATAGCAGCTCCTGAACTGGATCACAGTGCAGCCAACATGAGTGCTCTGGAATAAGGGAGAAGAGATACTGCTTTCTTCAGTAGCACAGATTTGAACTAGGTTGGTGGTTTGAAATTGCAGGCTATGTTCAAAGTAGCTATATTTTAGCAGGAAGGAGAAATTATATCTAGGGGGTTCCATGCTCATTAGTTAGAAGAGCTGTTGCGTGATCAGGAGATTTTCTTCTTGAGAATAAGCAACATAAAACCTTGACAGGGCATATGTCAGAGATCATGCATAGCAAATCTGCTCAGTATGAGGCACAAGAAGCTTTCCTTGCTTAATTTTATTTAATCAGATTGAATATGGTGGGGGTGTGTGCTTTTTTTTTTCCCCCTTCATTTCTTCACTAATGTGTCTCAGGATATTTTTTTACATTGATTTTGCATTATTTTGAATACGGTGGAGCTTGTCTCCAAGATGAGCATTTTCAGGAACAAAACTTTGTTCAACCAAGAAGGTAGCAAAGCAGGTACCTTTAGTAAATTATTTGTCTTTCCCAAATGCATAAGATGATAAGAAAATTCTCTTCCATGGAACTTAAAAAGGCCTTCTGGGAGATGGTGTCACAGCAACAAAGGAAGAAGCCAGGAATGGGTGGTGATGAGGAAGAGTTTAGGAGGTAGAAAGGTAGGAAAAAGGGCATCTGAATACTTAAACACTGTCACAGATACTCCTTGCTACTCCAAGGCATAGTAATTTTCAATAATATAAATCTATGTCACTTCTAATGGGAGATCAGATTTTGTGTATTTTAAGACAGGCAGCTAAAATGTTTAGTATTCTAAATGCTAGAAAATAAAATTAATGGATACTGCAAAAACATATTTTCACTAAACAGGGAAAGCAAGACTATTCCTGTCTAGTTTAATGTGCTTAGAAGATCATATTAGTCTGCAATATTAATTGAATTGAGCACTGAGTGCAGCTTAATTCCTTCACAGCAGAGTGCAGCTAAAAATTATCTGCAGAAGACATCCAAGAGGAAACTAATATGTTTGGAAACAAACTATCTACCGTTATATAAAACAAACAAAACAAAAACAAACAGCAAAAAAACCCCAACACCCAAAAGCATACAAACAACCCTAGATAAGTTTTTGTGTATGCTGGTATATAACTGTGCATAGATTTGTTTTATTTAGAGTCTTGGACTAGGAAGAACTAGTTCACATAAAGACTGTATTTGCAAATATAAAAATACAAAATTGACCTGTGATGTCATTCTGACTTAGATCACTGGCTCCTTCAGGCTGTGGATGTCATCTTTGTATATTGCTTTGCTCAGTGATTCCTCTTTTAAAATAATGAATGTTCCTTCTCTCCTGCTCCCACATTAGTGACTAAATTTAATTCAATGGCAAATCCAGTTTAGATTTTCCAGTCTGTTTGTCTAGATTGATAACTTTAGGAACAATTTTCTTGGAGTTTTTATATTTTTTTCTTCCTCTCGAGTGTCCAATTTGCTTCAATGCTAGACCTTAGTACAAATTTTTGTCTCTGAATCTCATCAATGTTAACCACTGTCTTTCTTTCAAAATACTGGTTTCAAATTCTTATCTGGTGTTCAAACTCTCAGTAGACAAGTGAATCATTATTTTTTTCTGGTCATTGAAGATGGAGAGAACTTCAGTAGAAATCTAGGAGAACAACTGTCTGGCGTAGCAGGCAGGCAGAGGCAGAAGCTTTTGACAGCTTTTGCAGAGGAATCAAAGGAGAAGCACTTGCTGTGCACTGTCTTGAAAAGGAACAGAGAGTTCACTATATTTTATTAAATTTAAAAATGGTAACTTTTCCTGGCAAGATATAAGTCAAGTAAAACCCACTGTTTCACTGAGGAGCAAAAAAAATAATGATGTTTGCAGTTCTTAATGTTTGAATCCATTGTTCTGCTGCAAATGAAAAAAAAATCAGAGATAAATAGCATCAGAAAGTATTTATATAAGTTCTGGGGGTCCAAACTTTCTAGTTTTAGCTGCCACAGGAGTGGTTGTGTAATTTGAGATGGTTGTTTTCAGTTAAGAAACAGAAACACTTTGTTATAGATTTTCATGTATTGTTCAACTATAACATTTTGGATAGTTAAAACTAGGCCACTCCAAAATAGACTATTCTGTATTAATTGGTTTCTCTTGGTGTGGATTCCTACTGTAAGTGTTCACACACCGAAATACTCAGTGTTTGGAACTTACCTGAGAGCAGTACCCTCATGTTGGACTATCTGCACTGCTTAATACTCCAGTTGACCTGGAACTCCTGTTGTGTTTTTTTATTTTTTTGGGACTTCTTAATGTCCTTTGCAATATACTTTAATCATGGAATCATAGAATGGCTTGGGTTGGAAGGGACCTTAAACATCATCTAGTTCCAACCCCCCTGTTGTGGGCAGGGACACCTTCCACAAGACCAGGTTGATCAAAGCCCCATCCAGCTTGGCCTTGAACAATTCCAGGGATGGGGCATCCACAGCTTCTCTGGGCAACCTGTTCCAGTGCCTCACCACCCTCACAGGAAAGAATTTCTTCCTAAAATCTAATCTAAACCTACTCTCAGTTAAAAGCCATTCCTCCTCAACCATGCCCTTTAAAAAAGTCCTTTTCCAGCTCTCTTGTAGACCCCCATATTTAGATACTGGAAGGTGCTGTGAGGTTTTCTAAGGCTTTCACTGCCAAAACCATCTTGGTTTTGACAGTGAAAGCTCTTCTTATTGGTTAAGTTTTCTCTCAGTGTTGGTGGAGATGGGCCTCTCTGAGAGGTTACATAGTGCTCTGGGAGTAGCTGCAATTCTGCCTTAATCTGCCAGTCTTCAGACCCACGGGTGCTCCAGACTTAAAGCTTTTTGGATAATATGGCTGTGAGGGTCTCTGCAATGTGAGTGTTGGGGTCTCCAATTGCATGCTCAGTTGAGCTGCTAACCTGGCAGTAGTTCTGAGTACAAGTTCCCCAGTCTTCAGTGATTTGTTTGTATGGCCAGTCTTCACGAACAAAGATTTGGGAAAGGTCATTAACCCTTCAAGCCCGCGCAGTGGATTTTTTAGGTGAGAAACAGCGTGCGCTGAACTGAGCCCACCCTTTAATCCTAAGGTTCAACTGCCGGGGCTGAGCGAAGCTTGGACGGTGGCAGCGAGGTCCTCAGGACGTAGGTTTGTTTAGAGTGACCTTCTCTTAGATGGATTGCCTCACAGGGCTAACGAGCTCCATCTGCCCAGAGGGGTTCCCTGACTGGGAATCGAACCCGGGCCGTGGCAGTGAGAGCACCACTAGACCACCAGGGGGCCCCCCCTCAGTGATTTGAAAGTGACTATAATATGGCAAACACTTTATTAAAACTTGAGATTGTTGATGTGATGGGAAATTGCCTGTGATATAAATGGGGAAAAAATGCAGGAAATTATTTAAACATTTATGTACATGTTCTTCATGGATAGCAGGGATGCTTTCATATGGCTGTGCAGAGCATCCCAAACTCACACTTACGTGACATTGACTGGATCACCGTGCACAGTACCAGTATGTGGCTTTTAAATTTCTTAATTCCATGGGTATAGACTAATGTTTACTTTTGTTTTATTTTTTGCTTTATCAAAATACTTTTTTCTCATGTTAATTTGATTTCCAACATCAGGTTGACAGTGGACAGGGAGAAGTTATGCAGCTTAAAAAAGAAAGTAGCTAGAAATCTAATCCTTAATTCATCATTACTTAATAAGTTTTTATACGACCCTGAGATTAGCTCAGTTGGTTAAAACTTGGTGCTAATAATGCCAAGGTCACAGGTTCAATCCTTTGTATGGGCTATTCTCTTAAGAGTTGAACTCGATGATCCTTTCCTGGTTCCCTTCCAACTCTGAATATTCTGTGATTCTGTGATACTGGATTTTGGAACTATTGCAGAAAATTTGAAATTCTTAAAAATGTAATCCTGAAAATGCATATAAAGTATTATTATTACAATATTCCTTTCAGTCACATTACGTTGCACAAAATCAGATCTTAGTCCTTTCTTTTGATTCTACTTTTCATCTTCTGTATTTTTAGGTTTTTGTTGTGGAATTTGGTGCAAGAGGTTAGTGTGATAATCTGTGTCTATAGTTGGAAGATAATTACTGTGGGAAAACCATAGGTGTTAACAAACAATTTAGTTGTAGTAGAAACTATAGGGCTAGAGTAGAGGCATCTACTATTTCTTGTTGGTTTTCTTTTTTTTTAATTTAAAATAGAATACAATTTGAATAAATGCTTTTGTCCATTGCAAAGCTAAAGTAGTGTTTTTCTTCCAGCGCTGTCATTACAGCTCTACTCTACTGTCAGAGTGTTTTCAGTTCTGTTCTTTAATTCATCTTGAAGGGGTTGAATGACCTCAGACCTTCCCACAGGCTGAAAAAGTCATACCTACAGTTTTTCCAGCCTGTGAAACTGCTTATTTTGTGGGTTTCTTTTTAATTATTAAAGGAATCAATTAAGTAAGTATTTAAAGTTTGTTTATTTCTTGCTATTGTAGGCATTGGATCAAGACAGAACTGCACTACAGAAGGTGAAAAAATCTGTGAAAGCAATATACAGTTCGGGGCAAGGTAAGACATTGTTTTCAGTTTTACATGAGAACCTATGCTTTTGATTTCAGGTTTGAGATGTGTCTTGCAATTTATCCTGTTGAAGTGTATAGTATAAGAGATGCTTATCTATTTAGGATTATTTGGAGTTAAATTTTTTCCTTTTTTTTCCTTCTGATTATACATCAGATTAATGTGCTTTCTAGTTCTTTTACCCTCATATTCCTTCTCAAAAGTCTCTAGGAGAATTCCCATAGGTAAATTTTCCTATTGTCATAATATTTCAAGCAGTTGCCTACAACCAGAAGTGTGACAAGAGTGTCCTCAACTGAGTTTACAGAGAGAACTTCTAAGTGAAATAAGAATTAGAACTTTAGAAGATTTTAAAAATAAAGAAATAATTAAAAAGAACTATCTACTGCTGGATGTTTTTATTTCATCCACATATGCACTCCCCTCATAACTTGTACAATCAAAATTATATATTTCCTTTCTTATCTAAAATAGTGGAGATTTATCATTATTTCACTTGTTTGAAGACATGGTTGATGTTTTATTGGAGCTATAGTAATTACTTGGATGAGTGGTTAGGTGACTGGAATGTGAGTTTGCGTGGACTAACAAATGATAATCAAACACAGATCAATATACAAATTCAGTTTTTAAAAGGCTATAGAATATACCTGGCTTCTATCTCTGTTTCCCTTAAGTTCCAAAAACTGTGCGAAAAACAGATAGGGTAGCAGTGCTGCACACCTTCCCACAACCACCTGGCTGTAAATACAGGGTTTTAGAAAATCCCAGTTTCGATTCCCTAACAATAATAATCAGTTTAGCAGATATTTTCCTTATACAGAGCTACTTCTGAGTGCTCTCACTTTCTGTGTTGTCCCATAGCTTGTGTTTATGGAAGTGTATAGGACTTGAACAATAGACTGTGAAGCCTGATACAAAGTGAGAATAGTAGTTGGTACACATGTATTTAGCTTTATGCTTTTAGAAGTATTCAGATGCTCCAAGCAGCTTTTCTGTTTGAAAGCGTTAACTTCCAAATAGAATTTCAAAAACTGAGTTTCAAAACTGATGAAAACTGTAGAGCACATGAGTTCTGCCTGTTTTGAAATACATAAATGGTAGTAGAGATTTTAGCTATCATTTGGTTTGAGTCTTGTGATAAAAGTGATATTGTTGTCAAGGCCTGTAAGTAGGGCAATACTATATGATGAACTAGTTGCATTGAGTAAAAGCAATAGAAAGTTGGTTAATGGTTTTGATTGACTGCTCTGCACTTAAAAAGAAGCAGAGATACTGGGGTACCTGTTTTGTTGTTTGGTTTTTTTTAGCAAGTCTTGTTTCAAAGGTACAAGTTGGTAGGAGTTCTTTTGGCTAAGGAAAGAAGCAAACATAATCCTCTGGCTCCCTCTTCAGAATGCTTCTGTGATACACTCTGTTACAAAGAAAAGGTGTGCACAGGAGGGATTTCCTGCAGTAACTGATAAACGTAAACTGGGGTTAGTAAGAGCAAGACAAAAGACACGTGCTATACATGTTAAACCTTATAAAAATAAGTGTAAATATAAGATGACTGAAACTCAGACTCATTTTGCCTCCTTGTACAAAGAGTATTGCTGAGCCAGCTGTTTTCTTATGCTTCAGTGATGAAAGTAAATTTTCTTGATGTTTAAGTAAAACATACCAGAAACAGCTATAAAATGAATTGTTATTTATCAGTTCGAGAAAGAATTGCATGACTATTTTTGTATTTCAAAAGAAGGCCTCTAAGTACATTTTGAGAACTCAAAACTGGAATTTTGTTTTACGAATTGAGTTGTTTGTTAGGAGGTAAGACCATATTTAAACTACTAGAGTAGAAAAAGTTTTTTTAAAACTCCCGTGCTCCATAATCTCCTTTGAGAACTCTAGCTGAACTGATGAGAAAAGTTTATTCAGGGACAATAGAAATCATTTTCCCTTCAGTTCAGTAATCCAATTCATAACTAACAAAAGTCATAGCTAGGATTTTTTGGGTTGTATTGGTTTGGGGTTTTTTTGTTTTGTTTTTGGTTTTGCCTGAAGTAACACTTGAAGAGTGACATTGACATAATGCAGTGTCTCATACAGAATTCTTCATGAAGGCCGAGCCCTCTGGTGTGTTGGTTTGTTCCTCTCCAGTGCTGAATTATAAACCACAAGGGACTCTGTTCTGTTATAAAGAGCTTAAACATCACCCAAATACTTTCTGCTTTTCACTCACATCCCTCACCCATTTGTCATATTTACATTTAGATCAACTGCTGTGGAAACGAAAACATACCAGCACAGAAATATGGAAATGCCTTAGACAGGTCCCTTCCCTCTTTACATTCCTGAAAGTACTGTTTGGTAAAGGGCTGTTTATGAAATCCAGTGAGACATATAGATGGATACCTCCTTGTCACCATTTCCTCCTTGTCTGGCTTGCTGTTTACTTCTGGCATGATGAATTGCATCTGTACTAGGAACCCATCTTATGTCAATGGTGCTTGAACTTAATGGAGGATCTATTCCGAATTGCTTTCCTGTAGTATTTGGATTGAGTTGTATTAGCAGTAGATTGCACAATTACTTTTGTAGATTTTTCAATAGCTCTTTTTCATTACTTCCCTGGTATAAGTCCCAAATAAAATCAGAAGTGTTTACACAGTGGAGAAATAAAAACATAAAATCCATGCAAGACCAGAGGTACTGAGCAGGACCAGCAGTCCCCATGGTCTCCCACAATGACCAGCAGCAGATGTTCATGGAAGTAGAAAAATGGTGCAAAGATGGAGTGATTTTTAAAAAAAAAAAATATTTTGTTTAACACTTTCTTAGCTCACAATGATATGAAGGCTAAGAGTTACTTTGAGTCAGAACTGCTACCATGATGTTTGGTACTTCTTAATTGACTTTGACAATTTATTTTGTCTGAGATTTGAATTCATGTAAATCTTGATCATTCATAGTCTTGAATCAATCATTAGATGCTCCCATGCAAAGTTGCCCTGTGCTTGTTCTTCAGGCCTTAAGTCACCTAAAGAGGAAACTGTCCCTGTCTCAAAGCATTGGCCTCAAGCCCACCAAAATGACTTATTTGATGTTAAATTGAGGGAGTTTTGCATGTTCTGGAGCATGAGAGTTTGTAGGAGGCTTTGAAGTGCCAAAGCTTGCTAGGGTAGAGTTGGAGGACTTTTTGGTGGATGAATCCAAACTTGATTCAGTGTCAACCATTCTGTCTCTTGAAATAGGTTTCTGGATTGAGTTGTTTTTTCCATCACTCACAGTATCTCTTCTGATCTCAGCAGCCCTAGGGGCTTTCGAGTTTTTTTTTTTCTTTGTTTTTTACAGAAACTGTCACATTAAATTATCCTTACTCTCTTTCTCCAAAATGGCAGCATAGACTTTCTTTTCTAAAACAGGAAAGAGGAGGAATGAATTCTGGGCAACAGGGACTGGAACTGTGCAGAGTAGTAAGGCTTTAAGCACACTGTGGCAATATTTTGGTGTTGCTCTGTTGCATACTATGTTTCTTAGTAATTTCTGATATTAAGCTTTGATTTGCTTGGTACTGAATGTCAGGGTGATATAACTCCAGAATCCTTGTAATGTCTGCCTGATGCACACTTCCATGCATTGGGCATTCAACATGGGATTCCTCATCTCACTTGGGAGCTACCCAGGTGTGAGCCTTTTGCTGTAGACTCTTCTACGGTGAGGTAGGTCTGACTTCCTGTACATTTACATGAGAATGAGCTGAAGTGTAACTTTTTTCATGCTGAATGTAAGGGGAAGGGTAGACCCCAAGCTCCAGTCCAGAGATCCTTGTTCCTTTTAGTGTTTTGATGAGGGACAGAACTTCTCAGAAATCCAGTCATTTCATATGGACTTCCTCTCCCCATCTGCTTGTTGATCCCTGTGAAGGCAGGAGTTTCTTGAAGTAAAAATTTGTTTTTATAAAACCTGTGTTTCTTTTCTGTGTTTTTTATTTATCTACGTGTCCACCAATTCTGTTGTGCACTGTAGTTTCTACAAATTGCCTGAGGAATATATAAGATATACTGCTGGTGGTGCATACTTGAGTTCTCAGTTCTCTCTGGAGCTTACTAAAAATAGCTAATATATTTGCTTTTCATTCTTGGTGTAGTGTTGAGGCTGTTATAAATAAGAGGCTTTACTTTACAACTGTATAGTTTACCTATTTTATTCTTTTGTACGTGGGTCTAAGTGACTTGCCATCTCTTATTTTATCAGATTTTAAAAATTCTACTGTTAGATTTGGTATAAATCCTCTGAAGCAGAGTTGAAAGAAAATTATTCCATGAGAATCTCTTCAAGCATACCAGTGATGAAAAGAGATGCAAAAAGAAGTCATTTGCTTTTCTGGGCTGGCTTATCTCTCATTACTCTTACACTGTGGTGATCTAGAGAATAGTCTCACTGAGATACTCCTTGCTCTGGAAATATTTGAAAGGGGCTTTTATTCCTTTTCCCTTGAACAATCTCAGTCCAGAAGGCATTATTGTTATCAAATCCAGATAAGTGTATGGTGGTAAAATAATTTTTTCTTTTCTATTATTTTTTCATTAGATTTCAGCTTTGCGAAAGATGAAAGGAGAAAGGATGCTTTCTTATTTAAAATAACTTCTGCCATCCTTTTTAACCTTGCCAGCTTTCTTGCTATTTCTAAAGCCTTTCTGAGTCATCTTTCATTCATAAATGCAGCTTGGCTCTGACCTTGGTTATTTTTCCTCTGGCTACCCATGGAACAAAGCTGTTTTATAAGTGCAACATAAAAATAGTTTAAAGTTCATCAAAATTCTGAAACTTTTTTTTTAACTTAACCAGGTATGCAGAAATAATTCTCAGTAATTTAGACATTCTTTGGGTTTCTTTGGGTGTAATTAAAATATAATCATTGACAGAAGAGAGTAGTGTTTTTGCCTTTTTCTTCTGTAAACTATTTAACTTTTTGTATGTGTGTGTGTTTTTTTCAGTGTTTGCAGGGTAATATATCTGAACAAAACTGTTGTAGAGCATGGAAATGTTAAAGCTTTAATTTTAGTGATGTGTTTTCTAGCTTCCAGCATATAAAGGCTGTTCTTTAACCTCTCTTCGCAGTATTTGTGCTTCTGTTTCCTTACTTAATATGCACAAGTAGACAGGAATTTCACTTGGTTCAGAAACATATGCTAAAAATTCTGGCATCTTCTGAGTGGGAAATAAACATAGTACTTAATGAATGCTGTGGATTTCAGGGAAAGAGAACAAATTCTTTGTATATCTTGGGAATCTGATTGAAGTCTTCTATGTTTATCATGGGAAAAATTTACCACAAGGTAACTTTAGGCATAGGCAACTTCAGGTACTGCCTGGGAATGCAGAGCAAGGTGGGATTCAGCCCAGGGAATCCTTAAGCTTGTGCCTATGCAGTGCTCAGGGCTCAGAGCATGTGTGTTCCCTGCTTCTGGAAAGTACTGCTGTTCAGCAAAATGCTGCTGTAAAGCTGCTGTGGCTGCCATTCCTTCCTTAGTTGCTTGGATCCATATCTTCAGATGTGTTCCTGTTATTTCCTCTTAACACACAATCCTAATATACATGTTAGAGCACAAACTAAGAGATGCCTCAGCACTGTTGTGCACTGGGGCCTACCAGAGCTTTCTCAAAACAAAGGTAGATTCTGTGCTGAGTGTTTCTGTGAGTTGGATGTGTGGATTGTGCAGAAGAGGAGATGCACAGCTTTCAGCTCAGAAGATACCACTGCTGTGTCCAGTCCAGTATGTTGCTTTACAGTACATCTTCCATGCTGTAGTGAGGTCCTCAGTCCAGGCTCAGGTGGTCGGGGCCTTGCCAGATCCCATTGGGAAGGGAGTGATTAGAGGCCCCCTGGAAGGGAGTTGCCTTTGTTGGTGGGTGCAGGGCCCGTCCTCAGTTGTCTGTGATTTTGGCATGTCTCAGGGAGATGCTGAAAGAGCAGGATGTCTGTCTGAGGAAGCTGTTCTATTTTCACCACAGTCCTGAGTTGTACTTACAATATTGAGAAGACATGAGCCAGTTCTGGAAGGCAAACATTACTCCTTGTATGTGCTGCTGTCAGGGATCGTGTGTCGCTCTCAGGGTTATTAAAGTCTTATAGGAGAACTTGTATCTAAGGAAGTAAATATTGTCATGCCCATTATAGCTTTCCTTATGCAAAGGAAATTCTATTAGGACATTAGGAAATAATTTCTGAGTTTGCATGAGGCACCTACAGTGAGACTAAAGGAAGCTGTTTGCTCTAGACATGTCGGATTTGACATGTTGTATTTTATTGTAGGCTACATAGCAGATTTAATTTTTCAGCTATGTGCATTTAAGGTCAAGTAGAGAACTTCCTTACTTCTTCAATAGAAAATATTTCACCTCCTTTACAAGACTTGCACTGATACTCATGTAGAAATTGAAAATGTCTTATTCTTGCAGAACACTTGCATTTTGTATGTACACGTATGGTAATTACAGAAATAAATACATAAATATTCCTTTTACATCACAATCAAAGCCTCACTTCTAGATTTAGGTGATTTGCAATCTGAGATTTTTGAGAACTTCCTATATATTGTTCCAGGACAATGATCTGCTTCCTGCTTCCTCTTTCTGACTGGGAATTTATTTTGCTTTCCACAGACAGAGGAAACAGACTTCTTCATCTCTTTTTTCAGTCTCTTGACAAAATTATTTTTGAAAATGCCCTATGAAACAACACAGTGCTTAAAATCAAAATGCTAGGAAATACTGTGGGGTTAGAAGCACTTCACAGGCAAGGATAAGGGTTCCATGATCTAGCAGAATTCTTTGTGACCTTCCATTGTCCTTCTTCCTTCAGCTCAGCTGGGTACACTTGAGCTTTACTCGCTTAGAACTGCATAAGCTAAAGCTCCTTCATAGATAAGTCCTCTATGTATATTTATGCAACAGCTTTTACATCAAAACAAAATGCATATTTCGTTGTTATGTAGTGGTTTCCTTGGGTTCACTGCTAAGCTATTTGATTAAAACCGTATGGTTTTGGAATAGCTTTCTTAAAAACATACTGTTTGAATTACAACTTCGTATTAACATATGATTAAATATTTGGCCTTCTGAAAACCTCAGTATTAATGTCTGATTTTTAGAATGTGACTTGTCTGATGTGTGGGGTTTGGGGCTTGGTATTGGTAAATGAGGATCATACTTTTTTTTCTTCCTTTAATGGGTTTTCACATATTTTTGTTGGAGCTTTAGTGCACTGCTTTTTGAATATCCCCAATAACTTAGGAGTGTTATTGTTTAACTCTTCATCTGCTGTTTGTTAATGTCAAAATAGATTTGTGCATTGTGGGACATTATTCATGAGCCTTGTTTGAAGCTTATGTCTTTTTCTCTTTTATTCCTTCTTTTGAGTCATAACTTGTAATTCAGATGCTCTCAGGCAATATGACAAATAAAATTTGCAGGTCTTTTGGGAATAAATGTGGTACCTACTGGTAATTATTCTCTTTCCCTCCCCCCCTTTCATTTCACAGAACTAGTTGGAATAGCTCTGTGTTTTTGTGTTTATGGCTTGCAGAAAGAAACCACATAGTAAGACTAGGAAACTCATTAAAGTGAAATATTGATTTAATTAATACCAATATCCTCTAAGAGAGATGAGCGTGATAAAATCTGTCCCAAAGGGCTGTAGAGGTAAATTTTCTATTTAAAGATGCTAAAATGAAAGTAACAAAAATTATGCAAACACATACCACAAAAGTAAATAAATAGAAGCAGGAAAGACATTTCAGATACAACAGTCCCTAATTCATCCTTGAGTCAAGGATTTTCCTCCCTCTCGCTGGCTTCAATTTCGTCTTCTTGGTTCTGACCTCTTTGTATGTGCAGTTTGCTGTTAAATACGTTGAAACGAGTCTTTGGTTGTGCACCAGTACACATTCCATTATCTGGGATAACTCAATTTTACAAAGCAGGGGAAAAGGGAATCTTTGTCTGTAAAAGACTTTTCTTCTTTTAAACTTGCAGTCATATTCAGACTTGGTCTCTTTACTTTTATATCTGATACTATTGACTTTTTTGTTCTGTGACAGTGTCCTACATTACAAAGAAAAGTTTGTGTTACACTAGGCAGTTATAAATTCTGATATTGTTTACAAAATGAGCACATGTGCTTAAATGGTTTCACTGATGTATTTTTGATCTTATTACTTTATTAACTACAGAGCTTTCTTCATTGCTGTATTACAAATTCAAGTTGCTGATTTAAAAGAAGCATATATATGCCTATTACTTAATAGTTCTTTTTAATTTTAATATATTTACTGAAAATTAAAATAGTTTAACTTGTGGCTTTTTTCAAAGTACTGTTTGTTGGTTTGTTACTAAGTTGCAATAAGCTTAAAATTATAATTGACTGGCTACAAAAAATCTTTCTAACTTTTAATTTTTCTTTGCAGATCATGTTCAAAATGAGGAAAACTATGCACAAGTACTAGATAAATTTGGAAGTAATTTTTTAAGTCGGGATAATCCAGATCTTGGCACAGCTTTTGTAAAATTTTCCACGCTTACTAAAGAATTATCAACGCTGTTGAAGAACCTGGTGAGGAGTTTCAAACTTTCTTAGCTTTTAAGTTGTTTCAAAATAAAGTACAATAACTGCATGATCTTGATGTCTAATGATAATTTTTGAGATGCTTTCAGTTTTTTTCAAAACCTAACACAATAATTTCTGCAGAGATTCTCTCTAAGGGATATTATTACACACTCTCTGTGTTTGACTGTTAATTGGCAGTTAAGAAGAAAAATATAAATGTTGAGACATCACTTGAGTCATCATTCTGAAATGATTGACGGTGTTATATATCTCACGGACCTTAATTTTAAATCGTTCCCTTGAAGACTTGAAGTCTTTTCAGTTACAAATACAGTGTTGTTAGTTATGGCTGTCTTGTTTTACCACAAAAAGAGAAACATTCACTTTATGGAAGAAAAATAACAATTTGAGGAACAATGCTTAAAAGGTGTTAATAGTCCAGTCTCCCTGTGGTATATAAAGCATCCATTGCTTAAATATTAGCTTTTTGAAGGTGATTTAAAGGTTTATCTCATTTAAAATTTGTCTTAGGCCTTTTATTTCTGAAGGCTGGATAATAAAACTATAGTCATAGCAAATATCTTTGAACGCTGAAAGTAACAAAGCCACATTTCTTGCAAAATCATGTTTCATGGGCTTGATAGTTGTTATATTCAGAAAGTAATAACTTCAGTTTTACATTTTTCTTACAGTTGGCCTTATTTCCAAGCTTTTTTGGGGTGTGAAGTATAAGTGATATTACAGACTTTCTTTCCTAGAGTCCCTAATACGACCATAACTGCTGTAGGTCACATCAAAGGCCTGTGTAGCACAGTTCCCTGGCTTTGACAGTTGCCCAGGAGTGAGTCTTTAGGGAAGAGGGTAGGAGCAAAAATGGGGATAATTTCTATACCATGGTCATGTAAACAGTCTCCAGCTCAGAGATGTTGGAGCTGGAGACAATCTTTTGCTTTTAGTCCTCGTTAGTATTACCTCCATAAATTTGACCAAGGATTTCTTGAATGTATATTAGGCTTGGCTCATAAGGTGGAGGATTCCTCCAGAGTGCTAAAATGAACTGCTCTCTGAAATGTCATTTCTGTTTCTTTTGAATCTGATCCTTTCATTTATTGTTCCCCGATTCTTACATCTTAAATGAAATGTAAGAAATCCCTTCTTTTTCTCAGGAATTTACAGATAACTATAGTTCTTTCTTTCCCCTCCTCTGTTACTTTTCTAGCTGAGTCTTAGTTATTCCATAACTTGGATTGGTCTTGCTCACCCTTTCTGTATCTTCTCTGAGTACTATTGTACCCTTTTCTGAAACGAGTGGACAAACATGAAGATGGTTCCATTTCTTACCCCTTTTTCTGAAGGCTGATGGCATTATGATTACTGAGCATTGAGGCTGATGTTTTCTATGCTGTAACTTCCAGGTATTTTTTTCCTTGAGACATTTTCCTTGATGATTGGTATTTCATAAGCATGATTCTGTATCTTCTCCTTACGTATCACTTTACATATTTTAGAGTAGATTTCAGTCTTTAATTTCGTTCTCTCGGCAGTTTTACAAGGCTCTTGTGCAACTCTTTGTATCTGGCTTTTACTTTACTACCCAGATTAGCTCAGTATCAGCAGACATTCTCACCTGACTCTCTACACTTCTCCAAGACTCCCTTCTAAATATCTCAGGCTGCTCAGGCCCCATCAGCACTAAACCAGGGTGTCACTTCTGGCCTCTCATGCTGGTATTTACTTTGCTTTCTGAGTCTTGCTGCTTCATCATTACCTCCTTACTCACCTGAGACTGATCACTCACCCTGATTAACTTGCTTTGGAAGCTTTGCTCGGGCCTATTACCTTGGTCACCCTTTGTTTCAATGTGGGCAGTTTTAAAGACCAGTAGATATGCAAGGGACCCGCTTTCCTCCATAAATATTTCTGTCATTCTGGGTTATTTTTACCTTTTTTAATCTTAATTTAGCACACAATTAAAAGTGAGTATTTTAAAATGTGAATTAAAGTGCAGTTTAAGGAGAGTTTGGGACTAGAACTCAAGTTTCTTGGAAGATTTCTGGATCCTGCAGGGCATCCACATAAAATTTTAACTTCTTTCAATTGGCAACCAAGAAATGGTGGATTATTCACTTATTTAAAGTAGTGCTGATCAAGAGGAAAAAGATCTTTTAATTTAAGAAACCACACTTATTCAAAAGAACATTATCTTATGTCAGCTAGATTATGAAGCATTATCTAAATTCTTGTTGACAGGTTTTAAAGTAGGCTATTCCTAATTTACCTCATTCAGCAGTCTCACATAGACAACAAACTTATTTGACAACTGTCTCGGCATTTTAAAACCACTTATTTTTCACCTTGATTCACCCTGAGATAGAAAATTCTACTTTGTTGTTCTTAAGCGTCATTCAGTTTAATATGATTACACTGTAAGAAAAAAAGATGTTTATAATATCAAAATAGAAGTTGAGGTGCATTGAAAAAGCAGTTGAGAGGAGGACTCTGTAATGTCACTGATAAAGCCCCACAGTAGGTGCTAGGGCTTATGTTAATAAAATCAATTGGAAAAATGGTAGAAGGTATTAAGATGAATAGCAGGCTAATAGGCTTTTTTTTTTTTTTTTTTACCTAAAGCGGGTTGTTGCTGCCTTATTTAATAAAGGTACAATAAATAATGAATGGTCTTTAAAGACAGATGAATAAGGAATAGAGCTACAGAGTAGGCAACAAAAAATACTTCAAAAATTTTGATCCTTTTTGTTAAATCTTTCTAACTTCAATTATGGTTCATTAAAATTTTCCTATGAATTTTGACATTATGGATATTTCATGGGAAGGAGAGTATGCAATAACTTATTTTCTTTGTGAAAGAGTTAGAGAGTGATCACCTTCAGAGTGATATTCACTTACTACCATCAGTTACTATGAAGTAAAAACAGCAACTTGTATTACATACACAGCTTTGGAGAGCATCATTTTGAAATGATTGCTCAGCACACAAGGGCAAGAATAGCAATGTGTCCATTAATTATTGTAATAAAAGCAAATAAGTTGCTACACAAGTTTTACTATAACCTGTTGATATTATCACTAAATATAAGGTCTGAAACTTAAAATCTGTAAATATAGTATTTGTTAAGTTGTTAAATAGTTGTCGTAAAGACTATTTTATAAGAATGACACACAATGACCACTTCTTTAGCATTTTCTAAAGGTAATACATTGGTATTGGCCGTTACCAACTCTGGTCTTTGTTTTCAGCAAACTCGGAATGTCTTACCAGTACCAGAATCAGTTTCTCTGTTTTTTTTACTTCTACCTCCTTTCCTGTTCCAGGTTTCATTCTTTATGCAGTAATTCATTATAATAGTTCATTAAGCCATATGAAGACTTACATATATGAAACTGAGTGTGTCAGTGTCTTTAAATTGATCTAGATGAGGTTTTGGAATAACATTTATTGCACTTGCAGATTACTTCTTGAAAATTTGCATGGTGCTTGCCTCTTTCCAGGTGTTCAAAGCCTCTTTTTCCCCACCTCCCTTTCCTGTAAATGTCCTCAGCATATCTTTGCAGGCAAATTATCTTTTGTTCACAACCCTCACAAAATTATCATACACTTCCATCTGTTAAAAGGTTTTTTTTCCTTTATTTTGCTCTATATGTGAGGTTGTTTTGCTTTATCGGATGTGCTTCCAGTTCATTTGGGCTACTGTTTTATTAAGTCTTCAACAGTGTAATAAATGATTCCAAACCTTTGCCATACTGGAGTAATACACTGATATTTAGCTTAGTTTTTTCCCCCCTAGCTGACATTCTAGCTGGCTACTGTACAGTAATTTCAAGCCAAGTATTAATAGCTTGAATTGGTTATCCTTAACAGATTCACTTGGAAAAATGAGAAAAGCTACAGTGTCTTTTGAATATATGAGGAGTTTGAGTGGAGTGTTAGACCTGTAGAACCTTGTTTTGATTTTTCATCAGTGTGGATCATTGTTCCACAAAAGTCCCTTAAAAATTAGTTTCATGGACTACAGTGTGCTCAGAGGAGACTTGTAGGCAGTAGTTTGATAGGGTCATAATAAATGATTATGAATTTTAACAGTATAATGTTTTTCTTTTTAGCTCCAGGGTTTAAGCCACAATGTTATTTTCACTTTGGATTCTCTCTTAAAAGGAGACTTAAAAGGTGTTAAAGGGGTAAGTGTTGAAGTTTTTATTTCAGCTTCATCTGTTTTGTGACTGTTTTCCTTTCATTCATGAGATTATTTCTTATATTGGCATTCATTAATATTTTGTATGTAGTCCAAAGAACAAAATTGGCATGACTGCAATGCCTGAGAAATTCGTTGTAAATTCCTGTGTTGACATGCACAGGAAGACAATGCTTTACAAGATTCAAACCCAAGTATTTTTTCCAACTGCTGTATGAAAAATTTTAAAAGAAAACAGTACTTTTTGTTGCTATTTATAACTTGATAACTATGAAGATAAATTTTTAAAAATGTTCTAAGGAAATTTTCTATTTCCTAAGGACCTCAAAAAGCCTTTTGACAAAGCCTGGAAGGATTATGAAACCAAATTGTAAGTATTTTTCTCCCACTTTTTAATTTATTTTTTTCTATTTTTTCTTTTCCCTGCTGGTCCCAAACTCTGTACTGTATCTGTGGATGTAAATGTGGCTGCAAGGCACCTCTTCTGTGGATCTCTCTTTTGCACTACTGGAAAGAAAATATTTTTATATGCTCTCTGAAGTAGTTAAATGACTGCCTGATGTTTCTTTACTGTAAAAAAGACACTTCATGCACTTAATACTTAGATACTGAGCATTGTAAAGTGGAGGTTTCAGATGGCACTTGCACATTCTTCTAGTAACATACATAAAATATGTCAATAGTAAAATTTATTTAGATAAGATTTAGATGTTTAGAGATTTAGATGTTTTCTGTGTTTTAGAACAGTATATTTTTGAGAAACAAGAGTTTTAGTGCAGTTGGTGTGACTTCAAAACTATCTGATTTTAAAAATATTTTTTTTCTCTGATTCCTATTTTCTGTGGGCAAACAATGATTTATAAAAATAGAAGGTTGGAAAAAAGTAGTATTGTAGTTGCAGAACTGTTGGTGGAACGGTTCAGAATGCTCTCGGGGATGTGATGGGCAGCTGTTTTATCAGAATTCAAGAGCCCTCAGGAGTTAGTTAATATTTTGTATCCTTTCTTTTATTCCCCTTTTAATCCTATCATTAGTGTTGTCTCATTAATGTCTAACCAGGAGGGGAAAAAAGCAATCAAAGAAAAACTCCGGCCACTAAGAACTGCTGAAATATTTACTGACTTAATTTTCTTACCTACATATGGTAACTGTTGCTTTCAGAATTCATTACAATGGTAATCCTTGTGAACAACTGAACTGGAAATTACTTTATTATTAATCTAAGGCAAAAAGGAGATTCCTACTCCAAAACTGCGTCATTGTATTCAGTTGAGCATTCAGATTTACATGTAGAATTGATTTTTTTAATTCCTTTTTAGTTCTTTAGTTCTCACAGATATTGCATATTTTGCAGATATTGAAAGGTTTTCTATAGACAACAAAATAAAAATATTTCTGCCTCTCTAATTTCTATATATGAAATTAGGGATATCTTTGAAAGCCTATTTATGCCAAATCCCAATAAACAGAAGTTAGGAGATGAAGTATCTCGTACAGACCTAATACGTGGAATCATCTATAGATTCTGTTTACAATTTAGAAGGTTTAGGGAAAGATGCATGTTGTCTTGTTGCTATTTTTTTTTTTTTTGTGAGCAAATTTCACTTGGGTTTATTAAGACCAAGCAGGAAATGTTGCTTATATTTCTCCAATAATCTCATTTCCTAGAATTCATTCAAGACCAAATATTGAGTCCATTTTAGAGGTACAGTGCTGAAAAGGTTTTTTTCTATGTAAAAACATGATGCTTTTCTTAGTTACAGAAAAGCAGAGATGAAAAACAAATAGATTATTTGTTTTTATTGGTTTTCCACTGACAAGAAGTCCCGGTGTAATAAGCACACAGTGCTTTGTCACCTGTTTTACAGAAGTACAGGTCCAGTGTTGATTTTTCTCCAAAAAAGTGCTAGAAAATAAAGATTTGATTTTATTTTTAAAGAAACAAGGAAACTGTTTGTTTTTCTACTCCGTCTTGGAAATCTACATTTGCTTACAAGTGGAGCATCCCGTTAGTCTGCAGAGTAGACATGTAAGGACAGCCACACGCTCTAGTTAAGGTCTTAAGATGGCCTTAGTTCCATATTTACATTTCACTGTTTCAGAATTTCAGTGTTGGCTTTCTCTGAAAACATAGTGACTGGGAGTTGTCTCATTTCAGGCAGGTGCTAAACTTCGATTGCTGCCTTATTGTTTTTCTTAATTCCTACCATACTGCATGAACTTATTAAGTTATTCTGCCATTTTCCTGCCAAGTCAGTAGTTTCTTAGAGGTATGTTTTACACTGCTGTGTATAGAGGTGGAAGCCGTGGAGCCCATCATAGAGAATGAATGATATAATAATTTTTTTTTTTTTCACCAAGTAGCACAGAAACTAGAGAAAAGAGTTGCAGGATGAAAGGAAGAAAGGACAGTTTCATGGCTCAATTACTTCTGAAGACTTAAACCACATAGGATTTGGTATCCTAGAGGAACTAATCTTCAGAATGGCTTCTTTAATACTTCTTAATTATTATTTTTCCCTAAATAATACTAGATCATATTGTAGTAGAAAAAATTCTCTAAAATGTTTTCTAATTAAAATTTCAGTACAAAGATTGAAAAGGAAAAAAGAGAACATGCCAAACAGCATGGGATGATAAGAACTGAAATAACGGGAGCTGAGATAGCAGAGGAAATGGAGAAGGAAAGGCGGCTGTTTCAGCTACAGATGTGTGAAGTAAGAAACAAGTTTCAGTTTTTAATTACGACACCGTAGCCATAATTTAAGTCCCTTATGGGCCTTACTTGAAGGTCCTGAAATGTGCTTTGTCATTTAATGGGGGTGGAGGGAGGAAATTATTTTCATGTCTCATATTACAGCAATATAAAGACAAATATTTTAGCAACTCTGGTTGCAACTTTGCTTCCTTTTGTTTTATTCCCTTTTCTTTATTTTTAGATTATTATGGGAAGGTTCTTGGGCTGAAAATACACTATGAAAATATTTATTTTATCAGGATTATGGTTGAGCAGTTCAGGAAGTATTTAATATCTTTCTTCCAGCACACTTTCGGAAGACTTCTAAAATTTCTAATGAAGTGACAAATGACAGTGATGCATTAGTTCCATAAAACTGGTTCTTTTTATATTCATACTTCTTTTTATTACGTGTTAGTGGTGATTACTTTAAATTACACAGTATTTATATTTTTAGAATATTCCAGTAATTATTGCAGTAGCATTAGAAAAGGGAAAGCCTTAGACAATCTTAAAAGACGAAGCTTTTTCCTGAATTTGTTTTATGTTTTGTATCATTTGAATTTTTAAGGAATGGCCAAATAAACTGTTATCTTTTGCTTATTTTGCTTAGTGGTAGACTGGTGGCTTATGAGTCAGCACCCAGGTTAAACACAGAAACAGTTAATTCATTGAGCAAATTATGCTTGACAAATGTTGAAGGTTTTGAGACATGATTGTCAATGTGCTTCTCTTTGTTTATACAGTATCTTATCAAGGTTAATGAAATAAAGACGAAAAAGGGTGTGGACCTTCTGCAGAACCTTATTAAGTATTATCATGCACAATGCAAGTAAGTACACTTCAAGCTTTAGTTAGAATTTTCTTTTTTACACAAGTGTTTTTCTCCCTTTGTTTGAACTTGTCAGGATATTTTTCATAGTTGTGATGTGCCAGGTGTCTGCCTCTGCAACTTATGAGGCTGCAGACTTTTGGTAGAGAGTGTGAGTGAGTGGGGCAGAGGAGTCATGGAGAAAGAGGCCAAGGGAAAACCTTGCATGCTGCCTACAAAATTAATTTTAGTTCCTGAGGCATAGATCTAGAATGTAATTTTACAAATATTTTGTTTACTCTTTTTAATATTTTTTAGTCTTTTATGTAAATTTAAAAACCATTGTGAAAGCCAGCAATTTCTTCGACTTTCTCTGGGGTGAAACTAGCCAGATATGACCTCGTCATCAATAGAACCACAACGGCAAACACACAGGAACTTTTATTTAGTTTAAAAACAGGAAAAAGGTTTTAGAAATTACTAAGTGAGAAACATGTTGGCTAATAAAAATAAGTGATAAAAATAAGCTAAGCTATATTCTCTCTAATTTTATATATGGAAAAGTCACAGTGGCATGTCTCCACTGCTGAAAGACATTGTACATTAAAAATTTAAGGAAAGGCTTTTCTGTTGGGGTTTTTGGTTGTCTCATTAGTTTGTTTAGTTTTGAACATGGAAGGAGCTGGATATATTTTATTGTTTTTGCTGTCTTTCTCCACAAGACAATTACTTTGTGTTATGAATTAGACGTATTCCTGATAAATCACAGGTATTTTTCATTCTAGTTTCTTCCAAGATGGCTTGAAAACAGCTGATAAACTTAAACAATATATTGAAAAGCTGGCTGCGGACTTATATAATGTAAGTGTACTTACAAGTAGTTAAAATAGTGAAAATAGTGAAAGTAGTGAAAATTAAAATAGTTTGTATGTATAAGTACGATTTAAATATTATTACAGGGGTCTATATTTCATTTGCATCTTATAAATGAAAAGTGTTATTTGAAACTGAACATAGCTAGACAAGACAAAATATCTTGACTATGTAAACTTTTTATTTGGTTTTTACAGCTATTAGGAAAAGTAGCTTTCATTCACTACTAATTCAGTGATGCATTAATATAAAACTGCTTTACAGTGTGAATATTTGAATCAGCTTATATTATTAGCATCAATTTTAGCTACCATTTTCACGTATTAAAACCAAATTGCTTAATGATAGCACCAAGGTTTTAAAATGAATTAACTTGTGATGTTCCTTAAAGACAAGCAATAATATGGAATCAAAACCCACTTGTCACCCAAGTGCTTCTGCATTCTATAATCAGAATTACAATAATCCCATTTGCTATTGTCATTTGTTGCTAAATTAAACTGTATTTTCATTCTGTAAGTCATCTGTCAAGTTTATTGGAATTATTTAATTAATATTTCAGTAGCTAATTTAGTTGCATTAGATATAGTGAGCCATTAAAGTGTAACAGAACAAACGGTGCATGTGGAGTTGCACATTCATTTTAATTTGATTTTCAAGTGGTACGTTCACAGAAGATGAACACGTAAGAATGGAGTAGTTCATGAAAATAAACTCAACCATTACAGAAACACAGAGTAGTTGAGCTGGTTGTTCAGGACATCTGAAATTATATATTGAAACAAAAAGTTAAAGTTGCATCTAATAGCAGTCTCTTTCTGTAGATAAAGCAGACACAAGATGAAGAAAAGAAACAACTCACTGCTCTTCGTGATTTGATAAAATCTTCTCTGCAGCTTGATCAGAAGGAGGTAAATAATTTAGACATGTTATTCTCTGAGATAATTTAAATTTGTGAATTTTGTATTCAGAAATTGGTTTAACGTTCAATATATGTAGTTATTGGTTCAGAAGTGTTGGACTTTGAACATGATGACAAAACTAATATTTAGAATGTTCACATATCAACAAACAATATTTTTACATTAATTTTCTGTTTCCATATTATGTATGAAAAGAAATTATTCTTTATTTATGTACTTTTTTAATGTACTGTAAGAACAGTTGTAACAGATCAGATAAATGCTTCTTCTAGCCCAGTATCCTGTGTTTGACAATGATAAACAATTATTGTTCAGGAAAAAAAATTAATTAATGGGATGCACAATTCTTTCTTCAGCCAGTGTTCAGGATTTTCCTGACCTGGTGATCTTGAACAAGACAGAACAAGAACTAGAGACTTGCCTTTAGCTATGGTTTATGTATTACTGTTCATCTGATAATTCGCATTTTATGGTATTTTTCTCCTTCACAAAACCCCTTTTACTAGAACCATCTGGTAAGGAAGAAAAATTATTTGTTAATCAGACAGCAGTGGCTGAAACAGGGCAGTTAAAAAGTAAAATACATTATTGATTGCACTGATATCAAAAGTGAAGGGAGGGACATTCAATGTCCTTTGCAGCTTTTCTGGAATACTTCTGGAACTAGAAGATAGCATAATAGCATACATCACAGCTTTTACCTGAGATAACATTGTGACTGCCAAATTATGGTGCCTGAAATACTGAATATCCCATGGTGAAACTCTGTTGGGGGGTTTCTCCTCTAGGAAAAGTTTGCTTACCTTCTGTTCAGTTTTCTTGTAGGTAAATAAGACATTCATATTTGCCAGGTGTCTATTATTAAATATGAATTATAACTAAACATTAGACAGGTGCCATTTTGCTGAATACATAGGATCATCCACGTATATGATTGGACAGTATTGCTATTATCAAATATACATAAGATCATAATTTACAGCAATATTACTGAGTCAGCCAAGTTTCTGATGCCAATCAATAATGGATGTTGGGAGTAAAATGAAGGGCAATAAACACTGATACTTCCCCAGAATACCCTCCTATTAGTAGTTTGACTGTTGGAAGTCTCTCCACCATCCTATGGCTTTCCTCTCTTTGAATTTGTGCAGTTGTTTTTTTGAGGAAGCATAAATCATCAGCTTATGTTACAGCTGTGTTTTTCCCACCATGGCTGCATGTTGTGTGAAAAATCTTTCTCCTTTTATTTGTTTTGAACTTTTAGGTCTGTATACCCTACTCAGGATATGAGTGCATGTGAATTTATGATATAATCAGTGGATCATTTCTTTTTCTTTCATACATGTCCTAACATTGACTTGCTTTTTGACCATTGGTTAGTGCAGAGGAACTAAGTTTAATCATCTGTAAAGCTGTAAGCATGTCATCCTGGTTTTGAATCTTCATACTCAGCTCACAGTATCTTATTCTCTCCCTCTGCATCACTTGGCATTTTTTTATGCTGGTCTTCACCTGTCATTTGTTATCAAGTTACTCACTATCATGAGGTTCTTGAGAAATTCTTCAATCAGTCTTTCTTGGGTATTCTAAATAATTTAATACCATCTAACAAAGTTTTGACAGTTTGCTGTTCACCCTTTTCCAGATTTTTTGTGTTAGACACCACATGTGCTGTCACAGCTTTCTGTGAAACTCACTTGGCTCTTTCCTGCTTTAAACTTATCTCATCTGAGGACTTTTCCTCTTGTCCTGTAGCGATGTAATTCTTTCCCTTTCATAAGGAACAGGGGATGCCCATTTAAAGTCCAGATACACCGCATCAGTCATCATTTGCTTACTGATTCCTTCAGAGAACTCCAGGAAATTTTAGAGACATAACCTCTCTGCACAAAAGTTGCACTGATTTAACAGTATATATAATAATAAATATACTCTTAAAAGTAGTTTTCATTAATCTCCCTTGTGTGGTGTGAAGTTTACTAATCTTTACTTTCCTGGAATTCTTCCGGAATTTCTTAAAATATAAGACTTGAGTAACTGAGGCGAGTATTTTAATGGGCTTTCATGTAATTTGGTAGGTAGCACATTGTGATTAGGGCTACTGTGTGTAGTTACATGACTTGGAGTTAGTAAATTATTTCAGGTGGAATCACAGTTAATAAGGAATGATGGATGAGTAATTCCTTACAGTAGTGAGTTTTTTTCTTTTGAATACTTGCCTATGTGTCCTTATATTACTTAGGTATACATTTTATAGCAGCTAAACTTTGGCCAGGAGAATATTCTTCTCCCTGCATCTCTAATCTCATAGTTCTGAAAGATGACACAATCTTAGGACACACTCTACATGGTTTTAGAATTTCTTTGATGTTACAAATGCTGAACAGGAGCACTACAGAGCACCTTTGAACAGATCCCAATGTACTGTAAGATCTGCCAGCTCTTTCTAGCAGCCAGTTTTCCCGTATCTCATACTTTACAGTCTTTCCTAATGCTGTCTTCAGTATTTTTTTTTCTCTCCATCTCCAATGTGCACATGGACCTACTAGATCTCTTCCACAACTCTTACAGAGCTTCCCATACAAGCATTACATTTGTAATCTCCCTACTATCCAAATCATGCTGAATATAACTCCTGCTCCTTCTTCATCCTTACCCCCAAAAATTGAACAGAGAACATTATATTTCAAAAGCTATTTGGAAATAACTTTAAATCCTAATTTTTTTTATCATTCAATTCCCAACACACAGAGAAACAGGACTTTCTCTTTTCTCATGTATATTTTCTTCCAAAACCTGATTATCTGGAAAAAAAAGAAAAATATCTCCTTCTCTCCTGGATGCTGTGTGTGTTGTTAAGTTCAACCTATTGAGTATTCAGCCAGTTCTTGGAAATTAAGTAGGACAAATGAGTGGTTGTTCTTCAGTACTGTGTGTTGTACATCCATGGCTGCAATGGTACAAGTCAAGTTTCAGAAGTTCCTCATAAGAGTATAATGATGTAGAACAAATGAATTATAGTGTTTGGGGTTTTTGTTACCTGCTTCCTGGATGTGTAGTAAAAATTGTGTTTCAGTGGAAAGTAACCTCATCTAAAATATAAAAAATTAAACAAGTCAAATTCTGAAACTGAAATACATGTTGTAATAAAGTAGCTTCACAGGCAAACCAAAATAACCTGTGCAACTTTTCTGACTGGAATTATAGTGTAGACAAAGTCTAGGACTCCTGAAAACCTGTATGTGTATATATGTGTGAGATCTGTATATAAATTTATAAATATAAAGTGTTTCACTTGAAGAGAATTGAAATTTTATCTTAGAAGAAAAAGGAGCAATATTGTGATTCTCAGATATCCAGGAAAATCATAGGAGAGAGAAATGCTGTAATGAAAGAATATGTTATTTTGGATAAAATAACTGTTTGATCACACTGGTGTTCAAGTGTCCCTTTCAAAACCAACATGAGGACTTTCACTCGCAATTCTGCTGCATGACTTGAGTCAGAGTGTAATGATACTGGCAGATATTGAGAAGCTTGATAAAACATTGTATGATTTAGGCATTCAGTATTTAATCCTGAAGCAGCATGTCAGCATTCATTACTCCTTAGTTAAGAGACAACAAAGCTTGAAGACACGTGGCCTGAGTTTCTTCTGCCTTGGAGGCAGGTCTCCATCATTGTGTATATCCAAATCTTCAAGTACATAAAGTTGGGCTTTATTACTGTAGCAGATGGCCTTTGTGATTAAGAATACATTTTCCCTGTTGCATTAGTGCATTATAATCCCCTCACTGGAAAATTTATGGATTAATGGAATTACTGAAGAACATGCAAAGAATGGGATTTTCTCCAGCAGATTTGTAAAAATTTAGAAGTACTCTTATCAAACATTGCTTTGGCTGGGAAACATTTTGAAATAATAAAATTGAGGCTCTGGTTGTGTGTAGTTTTAAGTTTCTTTGACCCTTTGTGTAAGAGAAAGAAGTTCAAACTAGTCATTCCTGTCCAAATTGTAAATTTGTCCACCTTTAACCTCTTTGGAGTTGCCACTAGAGAAGTGAGATGTCCCAACATTTTTGAGATCTCATAATGTAACTCCTGTTTTTCTGTTGCACGGATCCAAGGTGTTTATTTAGCATGATGGACATCTGTAATGCCCTTACACATTTTACTGGCATACCTATCCTTTGATCAGTGAAAAAAAATATTACTGTAATCACTGGAATTGCCTAGTAAAGTATTTCTTGACCATCTTTGAATCCTGGGCTGTGCAGAAGTGCCAGTGCCATAGCTTCATTGAGGGAAGTACCATTTTACATTGGCTCTGGTACATGCAGTGTCTCTTGTGGCTGCTGCTGTGCTGCCCTGGTATCAAGTTAGGGCAGATTCTGTTACTTTGTGCAAGAATTATCTGATTTTTTTAAATGACTGTGGTTTAAGGCTTTTGGAAAAAATATTTTAACGGGTATTAGTATAATTTTAATTGTGTAAAGTATTTCATCTTTTGTGTTTAAAAATGCTTATATCCTAAGAAGTTAAACTTTTTAAAAGAAACCAGGCCTTTAACACAAGCTTCTGTTGCCTATTTTTGTATAATAATTATTGCTACCAATGTAACTTAACAGCTTTAAGTTAAATATAGCTAATCTCTAGAATCATGCTTTCTGTCTGTTTTGTCAACTGTTTCTTTGGACTTTGATTTATTTCCCCAAATCTCCATCTGATATGCTCTTTGCAAAAAGAACCATATCTCATTATATTCTTTCCTATGCTAATACCAATAGGACCCTAATTCCAATGGGGATTTGAAATTTGCTTATAACAAATGAGCTGCTTGTTTGATGATGTGAACAGTACTGGCAGCACGTGGCACAGAGCAGCCTTCGTGCTGCTTCCAACCACAGCTGCCAGTTTTACCAAAGCACTTCTCTTTAAACTTCTGTGGCAAACTTGTTATAAAATGAAAAACAATTGTAAAACAAGAAGGAGTAACCTTCAATGTATATTGGTTATGGTAATAGTGAGAAACTGCTTTAAAGAGGAAAGGTTATTGCCGAGTAACTGAACTTCCCATTCTTTTGATTCTTTTTTTGTTTGTTTGTTTTGGTGGGATATTATCAGATATTTTGCAGGTTATTTTTTCACAGCTACATTTAAAACCATATTAATGTCCTTAATTATACCTTTTTATATACATTTGTAAAAATTAACAATTAACTTTGGGCCTGATCTTTTTCAATAGAAATTCAGAATTAGTTCGAGTTTGGAGGATAAATACGGTATCATTTTAGACAACTTAAAGGTCTGGAAGATATAATAAAATTTGATCCTGTAGTCATCTTAGTTGTTGTGTGAAGCCAGTGTCATATATGCCAGGTTGCACAGCATTTTGTTGTGATGTTTTGGTTTTTATGAGAAAAAACACAAATGTGCCTTAAAAAGTAGTTCTTGCCTTCTTTCTAGTTGTGCCATTAGAAAGGGGAAACATTATTTTAACAGATACACAGGCTATAAAATTTATTTTCAAGGAACATGTTTTTTTAAATAAATAGTAATTCTCGTTTTAAATTATTTGCTTTCTCTTTCCTCTATTGCTTTTGCCTTTCGTGATCGAAGTCTAGGAGAGTAAGTCAATGTTTTAATGAACTTTTGGGGATTTTTTTTTTTCTGATGTGCTTATAACAAGTTAATCCATTTCATTTAATTGTTTCACTAGATCAGGCCAAAAGTTATTTCAGCTGACTTCATTCACTAAAACTCATGAATTATATATGTATTTTTAAATTGAGAAAAAAATAGTGATTATTAGCATTTGTCTTTGTTTATATATGCGTTCCTATATATGCATGCTGGATTCTGGTGCTTTCTTTTTGAAATTTCATCTTAGACTTTTAGTTTTTTGTTTATAAGATTATAAAATATTAAATATCTATATTTTAAAAGTGTAGTTAGATGTATATTTGCATCCATACTATACTTCAAATGCCTAATGAATTAATTGAATCTTGAACAGTTAGTTCAAGATCACGTGATGTAAAAGCAAGCTGTCCTATGACTGTAAAACATGCTGTAGGAGTCTTCTCTCCTTTTTTAATCTTTATTAATTTCTGAAGTTGTAAAGAACACATACGCTTAAAAGTTAGGTAAGCTTACTGTGCACATCAGGAAAATGTTAATGCTGTTTTTGCCTTTTTTTAGGATTCACAGAGCAGGCAAGGAGGATATAGTATGCATCAACTTCAGGGGAATAAGGAATATGGCAGTGAGAAGAAAGGTTATCTTTTAAAGAAGAGTGATGGGTATGTTCTGGGAGCACATAATGGTGAAAACTGTAGCTATGTTCCTGCACTAATTTTAATTGTTTTCTACTGTGGTTGCTTAAGGCACGTTCTCCTAATGCATGTGCCACAAGCACTCGAGAGTTTTGCAGTTCAAATCTGAACACCAAACTGAATTTAATACAGAAAATATATAAAGCATGAGAAGCAAACATAAAATAAAGTCATAATTAAAAGAAAGCTATTGTCTTTATAAGTCTCTAAAAGGTGATTAAGACCTGTCACAAATCTCCCAAGCTATTTTTGATGAGGCATTTAGTAAAATTTTGACTGCATCCATTTGTTTCTTAAGGCTAATCTTCTCAAAATGTTAATGGGATTAACATGTTTTTTGAAGTCATGTCTAGTTACTGAACTTGCTGTTATTATGTAGGTTAAGGAAAGTATGGCAAAGAAGGAAGTGTACTGTTAAAAATGGAATTCTTACCATATCACATGCAACGGTAAGTTATTTTTATACCTTTATATGAAAATAGGAAATTAACATTTCTGTTCCTGGTGAATCTCCTTATTTGCTATTGCAAAAAGGGTGTCACTTCAGCTTCTGACTGTTGAAGTTCTGTGGAACTGTAGTTTATGACAGTTGATTTAATACTTAAATGAATTTATCAGTAGTTTAATAAGAAAATGGCAAATATATTGAACAGACTTCTCAATTAATTCTTCAGCTGGTTTTGCTTATAGAGATTGTCATGGTGTATCTGTGTATCACGTAATTTAGAAACTTGGGAAGTTAATATTAGGTATTATTGGCACAGTCTGACAGATGAGTGAATGTGTTAATATTTTGAGTGCTTTCAGCTAAAAGTGTGAAAGTGATTCCCAGTGAGTTCTGGGAATCAGGCATGTATCTGAAATGCCTTCCTGGGAATGCTAAATCATGAGGTAGCAACAACATGGTCATGGTGGAGGCAGTCCTAAAAGTGCCTTGTGGCAGTATGACACAAACTTGTCTGAAACAAGAAAACAGGAGTTACTCTTATAAAAGGACATGGTCCCAATTCCTCACTCTTTTTCCTTCATCCCAAATTCCAGTGATGACCATCAGTGTTGAATGTTTACTACCTGTGTAAACCCAATATACTTTAAAGATACATTTAGTTATGATGTCTTAGATGACCTAATTACAGCACAGAATATTAGTATATGTATTTATCCCAAATTCTGAAACTCCAGATCTCCAGCTTCCCACTTCCCATTTAAAGTTTTACAATTATATCTTTGATTTATTTAAAATGAGAGGAAACTTGGACTGTGGGTATTCTGTAATGAAAAACTACATTATCGTTTTACTGTTGTTTATGAAATGCAATAAAAACTCTGTAATTTTAGCATATTGTACATTAAGGTTTGTTCCTTTAATCCCATTCAAATAGTCAGAAAGAGTGGCCCTGAGAATTTTAATTTTGTTTAGATTTAGCAGTGTGTCCATTCTGACAACCCCAGTCAGACAAAGGGATGCTTGTCTCCACCGTTTTGAGTGTGTACATGTGTGAATGTTCACGCTATAAATTAATATCATGCATGACCACTCCCCAGAAAGGGAAAATAATCCTAAATCAATACATTTTTTAAAGTAAAATAAATTTTCTTTTTAGTCCAACAGGCAACCAGCTAAACTGAATTTATTGACCTGCCAGGTGAAGCCAAATGCTGAAGATAAGAAGTCTTTTGATCTAATATCACGTATGTAGCATCTTCAGTACCATCTTGCATTATATGGGACTTCTGAAAATGTCATTGCAAAAGGCTTTGAGCAAAACATGAGACTAGAGCTCAAAGTTCCGGTCTGTAACCAGACACGTGCAGTGCCTCATGAGTGTTCAGAACTTCTAGTTTTGAGGATGGGTTGAATGGGCAAATGAATATAGAACCTGTTCTGTGTGTGTGTGAGATAAATGCTGTTTGTCTGTGACAAGCCATGAAATACAGCATATGTGCTGCTCTCCTAAGTTCAGAGAGATGTTTCACAGCTTAGTGCAACGTGCATAAGTTATGTTCACCAGGGAATGGCAAAGACCTTCGGCTTCATCTTGTTTTTCCTTCAGTCTGTTCTGCTTTTTGAGTGCTATTTGAGTGGATGAGGAAGGCAATGAGAACCAATTTGTCTTGTTCTCTTATCCCACTTTAGAAATATGCTTCTGTTTGTCTAAAACTGGGAGTGACTTGTCTTCTCATGATTACAGCTCCTGTGATTTCCCTTCTTCCCCTTTTGGTCTTATACAGCAGGCATTTGTATCCAGTTTGGTTTTAAAAACACTTTTAAAGTTGATGAGTCCACTTAGTGTTTTCAGTCATTGCATACGTACTATTAATCAACATTTTGGATTTACAAGGACAGTTTATGAAACCTTTGACTGTGGGAGATAGTAGGCAGTTCATGTCTCATCCTTTCGTTAGTAAAAAGATGTTTCTTCACCCAACTGGAGGGAAAACTTTACTATAGGAACAAATTAATTTTGCCCTTTTCTCCTACTTATGTTTCAGATTTAACTTCTGAAAGGGCAAAATTTGATCCATATGCTTATTTTTCTTTAATATTTCTAAACATAAGACTCTTGAAATTCATACATTTGGTGCAAATCAGAATTCAGAATTTCATCTTTCTCAGTTTTTTTAAAAAATTGTTTTCCATAGCTATGAATAGGGTATTAATGTTATTGGTTAAGAGCAATTGCTCTTAAAGGCTTTAGTTGCCTAATAGGTTTCAGTACCAAGTATGTGGATATTTTAAAATTTATCATGTGCCAAATGAAAAGATGTATTTATTTATTTCAGATAACAGAACATACCACTTCCAAGCAGAAGATGAACAGGAATACGTGGCGTAAGAATGTTTACATTTTTCAAGTTTATTTTGCCAATAGAGGTGTATAAAACAATGGCAATAGTTTTCTCAGTTACTGCACAAGTAGTGCCTACTGTCTCTTTTTTTCTGCTGTTGTGAATCTACAAATGTAAACTATCTTGTGTCACACTACAGAACTCTTTTAAAACCGTGTAATGTTAAAACCAAAACCCAAACCAAACTAACCAAAAACCCATTTAGATTGTGTATCCTGCCAGCACTTGGTTTTTGTGCAGTTGCTTGTCATGATATAGTATATCAGGTTATTAGGATTCAAATGATATATTTTTAAATACTTCCTAAGTCTTCTCTGTCAACCCTGTTTTGCAGTTACTTCTTTTACTCCTGATTCTGCCTTTTCCTTTAAATTAAGAGAAATAAATAGATAAAAGAACTCCATATAACACATAGGAAATATGTACAGGCAGTGCATCTTTTCTACTGTTGGCCTAGAAATAAACAGCAAAGCACGTCTCTGATATTTGTGTACTTCAGAATCCAGGAACTTGCTTCATTAATACCTGTTTCCAACCAGATTGTTTCCTTTAAAACAATCTTTCTTCCTGCTGCATCAGAACTACTTCCTGAGAACCATGTACCACTGTTTTTTTCCTCCTGAACATTGCTTTCTGTGTCACCAAACGTGTGTTGTGTGTGTTGTCTAATGCTCATCACCCAACAGTTCAAGGAATAAAGTTACCAGTGAAGAGGACAGCAAACCTGAGCCTGCAAGGCTGCCTCATTCTTTTGTTAAATATCCATATTCTAATGGCAGACTGTGTTGCTCCATGTGTATTTTAAAGGTACAGGGAATGTTTGTAGGGTGTTGGGAGGTGTTGGGAGGCAGTGGCATTGACAGCTCAGCCTTGGGAGGTATGGGTGAAATGAGAGGGCTGGAGGACTCTTTGTGCACCTATTTCCTTCCAGTCTTCCACAGCTTTATGTTGGCTCTGAGAGTACAAAGCTGACTTGCTAGTCATGTTTGCTGCATTTATCCTGGAACTTAATTATTCCAGTAATTTTCTCAGTCAAGAAGAAAATACTGTTATTTCCAATGAACCGTAAGTTTTTGGGACTCTGCCCTGCATTAATTTTTACTCTATTAGTTGTTTTAAGAAGTGATTTGTTTGGGGTTTTTTTGTCTTAACACATGAGCAAGGTAGGCGGAGAATGCATTAGTAATATCCTTCTTCTGGTTGGCAGTTCAATAAATTCAGTTTAGTGGGCTGCCTCTTGGACTGTTTTGTAATTCCAGGCTGGTTTTATTTCCCATTAGAAGCACTGAAGTCTCATTTATCACTCTAAAGTCCAGTGGCTGAGAAAATTACTTGTACTGGAATACAGAATCCTAGAATATCCTAAGTTGGAAGGGACCCTTAAGGATCACTGAATCCATCTCCCTGCTCCTTGCAGGACTGCTACAACTAAACCATATGACTAAGAGTGTTATCCAGATGCTCCTTAAACACCACCAGGCTTGATGCCCTGGCCACTTCCCTGGGGAAGCCTGTTCCAGTGACCAAGCACCCATTCAGTGAAGAACCTTCTCCCATTTGAACTCCCCTGATGCAGCTTCATTCCATTTCCTCATGTCCTATCTATCACTGGTCACAAGAGAGAGGAGATCAGCACTTCCCCTTCTGCTTTAGTTTTAGTGCTGCCTCTCTTCTGTCTTTTTTACTTCATACACCAATTGAAAAAGAAATGCATAAATAGATTTTTAAATCATCTTCCTTAGACTCACATCTACATAGAGAAAAAAGCAAGATGCATTTCTTTATATTTTAGTTCAACTGACCCTGCATACATTTCCCTAGTGATCATTTTACAGTTTCTATAAATAGCTCCTCAAACTACTTAAAAATAAAAATAATTGATATTAATTAAAAAAAGTAGATGGTTTAAAATAAAAGCCACTGAAGCTTACATTCTTATAGGTTCATTATTGCTTCCCCTTAAACACTTCCTTCAGTCCAGTGTACTTCTTGATTTTTATCCAGGCAGCTGTCTGAATAGATTGACAGTCCTTAAATTCCCAGTGGATTATTGGTTTGTCTAGTAGATAAAATACAGTGTATTTGGGAGAGGAGGTGCATGGGGAGTCTGTTTATGTATGTGCATATATAATATATTTTTATGTGTAGATTATAAGAAACATAACCAGATTTATTTTTTTTAACTTAGATAATAATAATTGCTTTCTATTTTTTTGTAAATGTGGATAGGGACAAACATAATCCAGACATGACCTTTTAGTTCTTTTCTATCCTCTTTTTGACAGTCAAGGGTATATCCATATCTACAGGAAACACCTGGATTATAAACAAGCTAGATTCAGAAATTTTTCTATGAAGAAACACACATCTAACTTCAGTCTAGATTTTAGCAACAGTCCTCAGGCATTTTTTACTTTGGAAAGATTGAATTGGAGGGTCTTGATACTATCTGTTGCTTCTTCCATACGAAAAGGGTTATTTCTGAATATTTGAAAGATACTGTGCTATTCTTGTTCTGTTTATGCGTTTACCTGGAAAAAACAATGTTGCAATAGTGCTTGTCAGAAGAGACAGATAAACTTTTGTTGCAGACCGAAAAACCCAATGGTTGCTATTTTTGGGAGAGAGATTTGTATTGGCTTGAAAATACTAAAGAAAAATAAGAGGAATCTGAGTGACAGTCTGGTCCATCCAAGATAACAAATTCCTTCTGTTTTCTGAAGGCACACATGATGCCAGATTTTTGTTTACCATTGCGAGTTTCTTCCATACCAGGAATCTCCAGCAAACTAAATGCCTTAAAGGATCATAAGAAACTTCTGAGATTCAGAAAAACAAGTTTAATTGACAATTGGACAACCTCTTTTATTGTCTTAGATAGAATAGAATCGTAGAATCTTCAGGTTGGAAAAAAACTTTAATATAATTGAGTCCAACCATTAATCAAGCACTGCCAAGACCACAACTAAAACATGTCCCCAAGTGCCACGTCTGCACACCTTTCAAATACCTCCAGGGATGGTGGCCCAACCACTTTCTTGGGCAGCCTATTCCAGTTCTTGGCAACCCATTTTGTGAAGAAGTTTTTCCCAATATCCAATCTTAACCTCCCCTGGCACAACTTGAGCTTTTTCTCTTGTCCTAAAACAAGAAGATAATGAAATTTAAGACTTTTTAAATTATTTGAGAGAACAGTACAAAGTATTACCAGAAGCTTTTTGACTGTTAGTTTGGCACTGGCAGTATTGTGAGATAAAGCAAACATATATTTTTTATAAAGGAAAAAAAAAGACTGATACAGATAAGAAAAAGAGGAAGAAGAGCCGTCAGAAGACAGTTTTATAAACTATTGACATTGAATTAACATCCTATATTTACTGATTTGATTTGTTTATTTTTGAGTGCACAGCCTGGCAGGCAGGCCTGGTGACCAACTGGGCACTTCTTGTGTGAGTTGCACCACTCATTCAGAGTGTGCCTGTCCTTGTGCTGGTGCTGCCTGGGCTGTGTCTGGGAAGAGCTGACACTGCAGTGCCTCTTGCTCTGCCCCGCAGGTGACACCAGTGACAGGCAGCCTTGAAGAGCAGATTCTTTCTACCTGAGCAAATGCAACCAAAATAAATCATTGCTCTGACAGTTTAGATACTCATAATAAGGAAATCTATATCAAACTAACAGCTGGCTCAGTTGTGTTGTATTTATTATAATTGCATCTAATAATTTTTTAATGGTTACTGCATAGCTGAGTTTTGTTTAAATTCTGCCTTTTTAACAAACTAATCAAATTGTAGCCCTGAAAGAAATTGTCGACAAATGTCAGAATAAATGTTGTCTGAGTTTAATTATTATTTTACTCTGTGTATTTAACCAAACATTGCTATAATAACAGACAAGTAAGACACTGCTGCCTCTTTTTTAATAGCATTGGATTTCATCTGAAAAATTGCAGAAGAATGCCATCTAGTGTGGGCTCCTCTCATGTAACAAGAGATATAAATTTAATTGTTTTCAGCATGCAAACTATGGAGCAAATTTGTGTTCAAGACTTTAAACTTCTCTTTTGTTTCTGAGGTTGATTTTTCAGCATTTTTAAAGCATTTTCTTTTAAGCACAAGTTCCCAGATTATTTTGTGTGCATAAAAATTTAAAAGACATANTAATGTACAGCCATTTTAGCACATTTCAGAAGACTGATGATTTCAGACAACCTGGATATTGTAAATATGAAATGCATTGAGGACTCTGCCAATTTAAAATATTTATGTGTAAAAAAGGATATTTGCAGTGGATCTAAAAACATCTAAAATCACTAAACCTGGGAGGATTTCTTTTTAACAAGTTTTTTTTCTAAATTAGCAACACTGCATCTGCAATGTGCTTGTTCTTGGTGTAACTGCTTTCCCTCTTTATTTCCACCTGTAGCACCGCAGCCACTGAGAAGGGGGTTTGTTTGGTTTTAATTAAAAAGTTGTGTAAACAAAAACTGTAAACAAGTGGTTGAGAGGGGCCCAGGAACTGGTGCCTGAAATATCATTAAAGAGTCTTGATTTGTTGCAGTCAAGAGCTGCTCCTAAAATTTTGTGTTGGCTATTGATATGGTTACTCTCCTGTGGTCCTCTCTGCCTTACTCCATTGGTTGCCATGGCAATTAATTTGGACATTACAGTGTGACTCTGATTAGTGCACAGAGACCTCCATTTTAAAAAGCAACTGGGCATCAACATATTCACAAGGGTACTTGCTGTTACCTCTGTGAGGAGAAAGATGCACAGTAGGGGTTATAATTTTCTCTTTTAATAACAGGATAGACTTCAGGAAGATTTTGGGCACCTTTTAAAGCGGTTAAATTTACAGGAGCTTTAATTGCCCCTTTTCCACAGCTTCCACCTACTTGAGAAACTTGAACTGTACTGCTTTGGCTTTAAAATTTTTCACCAAAGGGATGTTTTAATTAAGACTATTTGTCTCTTTTCATTCTTACTTACCTTTTCTCAAATCTTTCCTTTTTGTTTCTCACTTTTTCCCTCTCCAGTCTCTCCCACAATAGAGTCCTTCCCTACATTCCCATTAATATTTTGTTCCTGGCAAGCTTTCTACAGTTTATAGATTAACTTGTATTTGCAAATGCAGATCTTCATTAAGGTCTTTATCTTGTGCTAGATGGATATCAGTATTGACTAACAGCAAAGAAGAAGCATTAAATATGGCATTCCGTGGAGAGCAGAGCACAGGGGAAAACAGTTTAGAGGATCTGACAAAAGCCATTATTGATGACATACAGAGATTACCCGGAAATGAAGTCTGTTGTGATTGTGGCTCACCAGGTATCTCAATTTGTTCATGTCATCACCATCTTGTTGGGACCTAAGTAATTTCTTTAAAGAAGTGTTTGTAGAGTGCAAACTAATTTTCTAAGTGATGTGTTTCTCAGTTTTCAGCCTGTTTTTAAAAGAAGAAATATGACTTTCCTACGTTAGTTCTATTTAATTCACTAAAATATTTTTGTGTGTTGTCTGTGCTTACTTCCAGCAGTTCAAGCCCCTCTGGAGTTTGAACTGTTCTTGTTGCACTGTGTCTAGATGCTTGTTGCACTTGAGTGGAAGTTGCTTGGCATCACTGATCCTGTGCATGCTACTAAGTAGAAGTGAGTAATATTTAGACAATGATTGTGGAAAAATTGACCTAGCCAGGATCTTACTCTGAGGTTTTATCTTGGCATGAGACTACTGGAATTGCAGTATCAGAACTATTCAGAGCTGGAATAAGTAGTCTTGTACAAAGAACAAAACCCAGAGTTGAAATCCTCCAAGATAATATCTTCAGAAGTACAGAGTTAAGGTCAGTTAAGTGTTGCTTAGAGCTTGAGTGGAGGCAGCTTGACCCAGCACAACTGAATTGGTTTGGTAGCTGGTAGCTGTTGCAGCTTTCTCATCTAAAGAGACACTTCAAGAAAGTGATGCTTATTTGGAACTGAGTAGATAGTGTGTATCTTGCAGATGCTTGCTCATCCAAATAAGAAATAGCAAGATAAAAATACAAACTGGGATATAACTGTGTCAAATCCTGGAATCAGTTCATTCAATTATTTCATTATGTAAAGCTACAGAAACTTCAGACTACAGTTCTCATTCATCTTTTAATTTATAGTGAAGTTTTAAGCTCCACTCCTGCACCCCAGCTTGCTGCTTTAAAACTCTTGACCGAATGCTTCAGCGCTTACTATTTAAGGTCAAGGAAGAGATTAATTTGAAGACATGTATGTGTACAAAGTGTGTCTGGAGCTTTTTCTTTTCCTTAAAAACTGGTCATGCTTCTTATGTGGCATTCATAGTATAAGATCTATTCTAATATTTCATGCAGATCTTCTCCATGACAGCAATTTTTATTTATTTTTTTATTTATTTTTGTTCCTGGACTAGCTAGCATTCCTTAAATTTTCTACAACATACTGCTGTTTTACATACTGGAAAATTATATGGTCAATCTTTTATAAAGGACTGTTTAAAGTTTAAGAAGTAAATTTCAAAACTTCAGAGGTTGTCAAATTTAGGAGATCTGTTCCTTTTAAATACAGGAATTTAAAGCCTTATGTTATTTGTACAGGAAATAAATCCTAACTGTATTGAAATATATTCATTAAGTATGAATTTATAAGTCTAAATTCAGTGCCTTTGGGACTGTCTCTAAATCTGAAAAACTGAAGTCCGTTGGTAGCAATTTGTGGTTAAATTTGCACTGCAGTTTGGAGAAAAAGCCTAAGAATATTCCATACATTTCTGTTCTTTAAAGCATTAAATGAGGAATCATTTCCGAATACGTTGGGATTTCTTACCACCACTGAAAACCTTTTCTTGTACTTTGATTAAATACGTTGTTTTTCAATTCTTCAGATCCAACATGGCTATCAACTAATTTGGGCATTTTAACCTGCATTGAGTGTTCTGGAATACACAGAGAAATGGGTGTTCATATTTCTCGAATCCAGTCTTTGGAATTAGACAAATTAGGAACATCTGAACTCTTGGTAAGTTTCTTTAATTTGGATGATTTTTGGTGATTTTTTTTTTTTTTTAGACAATTGATGACATATATATAGGAAGCATTGAGATATATAATTTACAGTTAATTTTTTTCAAGGAATGTGTTTTTGTAGAACACCTCCTTCATATTTTGTATGTATTTGATAGGAGCATAATTATATATTATATAATATTATTTATTATTGATAGTTTTGGTGATTTCTCACTTCTCTTGTTCATTTTCTGGGGTTTTGCAGAATGAGTATTGACATCTGTTGTGATTAGTGCCATCAGAATTTTGTCTCTCAATAGCTGACCTTGACCCTAAATCAAGACAGTCTAAAATTGTATGCAATTAAAACAAAGGAAAGCTAATTTAACTTGGCAAGTGAGAATGACTATTGCTAATTTTGACAGAAAAATGTTGGATGAATCTTTTAATTTGATGGAAGAAACCCTATTATATTAAAGTTATGAAAGGAATTTGATGCGAGACTACTAAAAAAAAAAAAGATATGGAGAAAGAAAAAAACCCAAAACAATTGTAGCAGGTTTATCACTCCCCAACTGTGTTTGGCCTGAGAGAAGATACTTGTTATAGAAATTTTGATCGGGAAAATTGAGAGAAGATAGAAGGCAGTTCTGGATTTGGGTATAGGTTCAACATTAGCACTAGCTCTCTCTTTGAAATACTGAGTTGTTTGCAAAGTTACTGTTAATATAAATCAAATTTTGCTAAGCGTGACCTTCAATAGGTCTGAGCTTCTTTCCAAAAGTAGCTTCCTGATCAGTGTACCAGCACCATTTCAATGTTCATGCTGCTGATTCCTCATTCTCATTTTGGATTTTGCATTGGAGGCAGATTGAATTGAAATGCAATCAGCTGTGACTGTAAAGTCTATCATACAAGTTCTGAGATGAGAGAATTTACACTTAAAATTTTATTTAATTGCTCTATATTTACATGCAATCATTGTGCTTTCATTTTGCAGTCCTGCGTGTTCCATCTTTTATCAGTAGTGTGGAAAAGGCACATTAATAGTCCATTTTTTAGATTGCTGTTAGACCCCAAAAGCCCTCACTGTCATTTATTCTTTTTCTGATTTCAGCTGGCCAAGAATGTAGGAAATACTAGTTTTAATGATATTATGGAAGGGAATTTACCTAGTCCTTCGCCTAAACCCAGTCCATCAAGTGATATGTAAGTCTTTAATCTCTAAAATCTTTAACATTAAGCTTACTGTGGAATATATATTTGATGTAAAGTGTCTTAAACAGTAACCAAGCTAGAGGAAGGCTAGAATTGCAGAATTTTTACTCCAACTGTGGAGTTTCTTAGAAGTTATGTAGCCACATTTTAGCTACCTCAGCTTCTCAATGTAGAATATTTTGAGTTTGGGTTTCAAGGTTCATTATTTGAATCCTGAATGGTTTTGAGTTTTATAGAATCCCTTCAGGTAATAAACACAGTTGGACTAAATGATACCAGCTCTGTTTTTACTTTGGTCTTAGTCCCCAGAGTCAGAGTGATTTTCATATATAACAAGTACTTGACAATGTACTTACTGTATTTTGCGCTTGTTTGCAAGAAAGACATGCAGCATAACAATGAATAACACACTTTTTATCAGATAGTTTTCCTCTTCCCTTCTTATCTCCTGAGTTAGACAAGGTGATTGTAAATTAAAATCATTGACCCATTTTTCTAAAAATTTCTAAAGCAAGCTCTATTTTCACACCCCACAGGACTGCACGTAAAGAATTTATCACTGCTAAATATGTAGATCATAAGTTCTCTAGGAAGACTTGTACATCTGCAGCAGCTAAACTGAGTGAATTACTTGAGGCTGTCAAATCCAGGGATTTACTTGCACTAATTCAAGTCTATGCAGAGGGGGTAGAGCTAATGGAGCCACTGTTGGAGCCTGGACAGGTAAGCTTATCAGGTAAACAAAGAGTATTTTAAATAATATGTATTTGTAAAGTGCCCAGGACCTGGGTCTGCTACCTTTGATGCTAAAACAAGCAAAATAACAGGTGAAAATGGTGGGGTTTTATTTCTTTTCTGTAGTGTGACATCCTTGTGGAGAGGGAAAAGAACACTATCTGTTGTCATCAGTTGGTCTAAAGGAGTGTGAAATGCAATAGTGATATCCTATGCTGTTCTTGCTGCAACTTTAATATGTTGAAAAGCACCTGTTCTGCAATGTATCTCTTTTAGGAAAAGGCCCAGAGAAAGGAGACTTGACTTGATAGTGCAGGGTCACCTGACATCACAGACAGTATCATACCTGCTTTTAAAATAGTTGCTGAAGGAAAACATTATTGACTGTCTACAAGTCTCTATTTACTGTGGATGGGGAAAGAATAAATCTGATACCCTCACAGCTTCTGATGAAACATTTACAGAAGTACAGAGTCTTTCAACTAGGAGAAGATTTTTTTTTTTTTAATAAAGTTCTGAATACTTGATCTTCCTTCTGAAGTCAGTAACAGGTTTTTGATTTTTTTGAAAAATCAGTCCTAGTTGACCTCAATTCTCCTTGGAGAAATGTTGCTTATGAGCAAAATAACATGGTTTTATAGATAATCAATGCTGTGTAACCACTTGCTCAGCAATGTTTTCTCCCATCACTTTAAAACCCAACTTGGAGAGATGTCACAGAATGTTTTCAATGAGTTGTATGAAAATAGCTAAGATGGCAAAGGACACAATATGAAGTGTCTCTATGAAGCGAAGGGGATAAGTTCAATATAGTCTCAGCACTCGAGTTATCACGGAGTGCTTATCATGGAAACACATGACAAATTCTCTAACTGCAGGGTAAGCTTTCTGTATTTGTCATCCACAGCAGTTAGCACAGAATTAGCTCCTTGATGCTTCTCAGCTATTACAGGCAGTGATACTTAGAAAGGTATGAGCACCAAATGAAATTTAGTCTGCAGTTAGGACATTAACAGCAGCATTCTCCACTGTAAATTCTCTGATGTTTAATAAAGAAATATCTTTTTTCTAAATTGGACTTTATTCTAAGTATACATACTGTAATATGCTTTTTAAAAATGTCCTTTATGATCAATACGAGTTAAAAAAATCTGGATCTAGATTAACTTCTTTTGCAACTTTTAAATGGAATTAAACAGGAGAGACTTGGACATACTGGAGAGAGTGCAATGAATGGCCACAAACATGTGAGAGTTTGGAGCACCCCCTCACCTGAGGAAAGGCTGAGGGGAGGGTTCAGCTCAGAGAAGGCTCAGGGGGATCTCAGCATTGTGTGTAAATACCTGAAGGGAGGGTGCAAAGAAGGCAGATCCAGGCTCTTTTCAGTGGTGCCCAGTGACAGGATCAGAGCCAATGGGCACAGACTGGAGCACAGGAGGTTCCCTCTGAACATCAGGAAACATTTTTGTATTGTGAAAATGACCAAGCACTAGCACGGCTTGCCCAGGGAGTTTATGGAGTCTCTGTTCCTGGAGATATTCCAAAGCCCTCTGGACATGGTTCTGGGAAACTGGTCCTAGGTGACCCTGCTTAGGAGGGAGGTTGCAACAGATGATCTTCACAGGTCCTTTCCAATTTCAACTGTTCTACAAGTCTGTAGGAGATTTAATGTATGCGGGACTGATTTTTGTGGTGTTTTTTCCCCTGGTTTTGTAGGAAATAGTATTGTGGCTGTGCTTGGTGCTCACCAGGCTGTCATAAAGCAACAAGTACTGTAAACTCACTCAGTATTCCTGACAGGATCCCTTTTAGTTACTAGTAGCTAAAATGGTTAAAGGCTTCTCAGGGTCATTCCATCCAGCAGGGAAAAGGGAAAACTGGGTTTGAGAAAGCTGTGATCTCAGAAAGTAGGATGGCATTTCCTTTGAAGCACATGGTGTCTTTTAGAGATAAGAAAGGCAATAACCATTTTCACCGTAATTTCCTAATAGTATTTTTCTGTTGAA